TAGTTTGCGGCGGGGCCCCCCTCGGCAAAGCGCGAGCGCTGCCCTGCGGGAGCAGGGGGCGGCCGTAGCCGGAGGGCGGCTGCGCTGCGGCCGCTGCCTCCCGCGCGGGGCAGCTCCTAGCCCGGCCCGTGGCTCCGCACAGGTGTCTGCGCGCTCTGAAGCTGGGCTGGAAGCTGTGCTGGGCACAGGCCGTGTCCGAGCAGGAGCAGAGCCGCCTGGCCTTCCTCTCCCATGACATCAGCCTGCTGCGCCTCTTGGAGACCTTCCTGGAGAACGCCCCGCAGCTCACCCTGCTCCTCTACGTTGTCCTGCGGACCAACAAGGCGGAGCCTTCCCAAGGTAGGGGAATTTCAAGGGCACAAGCGTTGGGTCGAAGCAGGATAGGACAGGAGAGACCTCGCTGGGTGGCCGTGGGCTGTGCTTTGCCCAGCAGGACGTTGCTCTTCGGCCCCTGGTTCCTGAGCATCGCTGTTCTCTGCATCGCTCTTTTCCTGGGTGTGATGCCCATGGGGAAATGCTTGTCCTACCCTGACATCTCCTAGTGGACTCTGCTGGGCCAGGAGGGAGGTAGGTGGGACCTCTGGGGCGTCTCCCAGGGAGGCTGTGCCTGAGGGGAACCCCGCACGGAGTGTCCTGCCCCATATGTGTGGCCAAGGCCCAGAGGCCAGGAGAGAAATCAGGTGCCGTGCTGGGACACAGGGTGCTCTGATAACTGGGCAGTGCTGATGTGGGCACGTGTGGAGAGTAGAGCAAAGCCCCATGAGGAAGGGAAGTGCTTTGGTACCCACGTAGGGGTGTGCAAGAGCCTGCTGAGCAAGTGTCACTGCGATGCAATGGCTCGAGAGACAGGCAGTGCTCAGAGCCTGGCAGCGCTTTGGCTGGTTACTCAGCTCCTGCCTGCATGGGCTGAGGGCCACACTGTCCAGAGCAGCAGTGTCTGCAGGGCCAACCAAGTCCCGTTACCTCCCCCTCGTCTCCTGGTCCAGCTAAGCTTGGTAATGGCAGACATCTCCTGCGAGCAGAGCGGCATCAACCTGCTCCGTGAGAAGAGCAGGAAGCCAAGGACAGGGTGGGACACGCCGAGATGCTGAAGCCGGGACGCTCTGAAGCAGCAGCTCTTTCAAGCCGCGTGTGACGGGCGCGGGTTGGGAGCAGGGTTGGCGCGAGGGCTGTGAGCTCAGTGTGCTCTGCTGCTGTGTTTGCAGGTGTGGGGCTCTGCACTGCCGCCCTGTGTGTGACGTGGGCCCTGCTGGACTATCACCAGTCCCTGCGCTCATTCTTGCAGGACAAGTATGAGCTGAGCCTGTGCTCCTCCTTCGTCTACTTCCTGTGGAACCTTTTCCTCATCTGCCCTCGCATCCTCGCCGTTGCCCTCTTCGCCTTGCTCTGGCCCTACGGCATTGTCATACACTTCCCACTCGTGTGGCTGGCCATGTTCCTCTGGGTCAACATGCAGGGGACAGACTTCATGGAGTCGCCTGGCCCTGAGCAGTTCTACAGGGCCATGGTGGCCGTGATCCTCTACTTCAGCTGGTTCAACGTGGCCAAGGGACGAACGTTGACCCGTAGTATCATCTATCACGGCTTTATCCTGGGGGACAGTGTGCTGCTGGCCGCGTCCTGGCTCTGGTGCCGCTCGCCCTCCGATGAGCACTTGTACCTCATCCCGGTGGTCTTTGCTGCGCTGCCCTGCTACCTTTTGGGGCTTGTGTTGAGACTGGTCTACTACAAGTGGCTGCATCCCAACCTGCGGGCGCAGCGAGCGGGGGCCTCCGATGAGGGGGATGCCGGCGAGG